TGTGCAATTCCTGGGTTATATAGTCATCCTATTCTTTATCATTTGACAAACCAAAAGATCTTTTTCCACAGTGGCTGTAAGCATTTATGTTCCCAGTCTGAGTTATAGCTAAGTGGTAGACTGTCTACCATGCATGATGCCCTGAGGTGGCACCCATGAAATATACACATTTCTTTTTCTTTCCCAGTAACAGGCTGAGGGTTCCAGTTTCTCTACTTCCCTGCCAACATTTTAAAAAATTCTAGCGACCATAACACCCTACTGAAGTAAAATGGTGGTATATTGCTGTGGGCTTGGCTTTCACTTCCCTGCTGAATAAGCACACAAAACATCTTTTCTCATGTGTATTGGTCATTTGTATTTCTTCTCTGGAGAAATAGCTATTCCGATCTTCTTCTGGGTTTTAAGTTAAGTCATTTACCTATTTATTATTGAGTTGAAGGAGCTCTTTATGCATTCTAGGTATGTCATTGCTCAGGTATATAATTTAAAAATTTCTCCCAGTCTTTGGATCATCTTTACTCTTCTTTCTTTCTTTTTGTTCTCAAGGCAGAATTTCACTTTGTCGTCCTATTTGCCCTAGAATTTGGTTTATAGATCAGGCTGCTCTTCAACTCACAGAGAACCAAGCATTTGTCTCTGCCTCTTGAGTATTGGGATTAGAGGTGTGTGTCACCGTGCTTGGCTCTTTATACTTTCTTAATGCTTCACATATCATGCCTCTGTTGTATACAAGCTTTTTAAATACTTTTTAAATACTTCAGTATTATCTATCTTTTTCTTTTCTTTTTGTAATCTATGATCTATCTATCTATCATCAACATGAAACCATCAACTAATTCAGGATCAGAAGGATCCACATCTATGTATTCTGTTGTTTCTTACTTTAGCCTTACTATTACTTTTCTTCCTTCCTTCTTTCCTTCCTTCCTTCATTTCTTTTGTTACAAATTTTGATACAGATGAGATGTCTCTGTATACTAGGCTCATCCCAAATTCCTGGGCTCAAGTTTTCCTTCTACTTATGCTTTTGGAGTAGTTGGAATTATAGGAATGCACCACTATGGCTAGCTTTCTGGTCTGCTTCGAATAGTTTCTTTAATGTTAGCCTGCAGCCTCGTTTTCTGAATGTGCATATCTAATTGTCCAGTACTCTTGGCTTAAAAAGGCCTGAGACAGCCAACTACACAGGAGCAGGAGCAAAGCAAACCCTGGAAACACCAGGTGACCTCCAGGAACAAAGAGTGACCAACTGGATGACTGAACTGTGTCACTGACTGCACCACGAGGAGCAACCATCTGAGCCTTGGAACTACTGGCACCTGGAAGATTGATCACCAGAGTCACAGACCGCCCCAACTCACACCAATCAGAGGAAAAGATGAGTAGACAAAGTAAGAGCGCACACACACCAGCACAAAGAGCAACATGACATCAGTAAAAACTAGTGATCCTACAACAGTAAGATTTGAACAACCAAATACAAATGAAGCAGAAGAAAATGACCTAAAAAATAACTTCAGGAGAATGTTCATGAGAAAATGATCAGGAACCACAAATGCAAGCATAAACAGCAGAATACAAGAGATGGAAAAGAGAATCTCAAGCGCTGAAGATACAATAGAGGAAACAGACACATTAGTCAAAGAAAACATTAAATCTAACAAAAGCTTAACACAAAATATCCAGGAAATATGGAACACCATGAAAAGATCAAACCTAAGAATAATAGGTATAGAAGAAGGAGAAGTTCAACTCAAAAGCACAGAAAATATATTTAACAAAAATCATAGAAAAAAAAACTTTCCCAATCTAAAGAAAGATATATCTGTAAAGATACAAGATGCTTACAGAACACCAAATAGACTGGATCAAAAAAAAAAAAAAGCTCCCTTGCCACATAATAATCAAAATACTAAACATACAGAATAAAGAAAGAATATTAATAGCTGCAAAAGAAAAAGGCCAAGTAACATATAAAGACAGACCTATCAGAATTACACTTGACTTCTCAAAGGAGACAGTGAAAGCCAGAAGGTTCTGGTCAAGCGTTATGCAGACATTAAGAGACCAAGGACGCCAGCCCAGGCTACTATACGTAACAAAACTTTCAATCACGGTAGAAGGACAAAACCAGATATTCCATGACAAAACCAGATTTAATCAATACCTAGCCACAAACACAGCTCTACACAAAGTATCAGAAGGAAAACTCCAACCCAAGGAAGTTGGGTTGGAGAAAACATACAAAATAACATCACTAACAGCAAAAACTAAATTAACAGGAGATAGCAATCACTGGTCATTAACATCACTTACTATAAATGGACTCACTCACCTATGAAAAGACATAGGCTAACAGATTGGAGACTAAAACAGAATCCATCCTTCTGCTACATATCTAAATATTAATCCACACACCTATGAACACCTAATTTTTGACAAAAAAGCAAAAAATATAAGATGGAAAAAAGAAAACATATTTAACAAATGGTGCTGGCATAACTGGATATCAACATGTAGAAGAATAAAAATAGATCCATATCTATCGCCTTGCAAAAAACTCAAGTTCAAATAAATCAAAGGCCTCAACATAAAGCCAGCCTCACTGAACCTCATAGAAGAGAAAGTGGGAAGTACACTTGAACGCACAGGAAACCACTTCCTAAATGTAACCCCAGTAGCACAGACACTGAGAGAAACAATTAATAAATGGGACCTCCTGAAACTGAAAAGCTTCTGTAAAGCAAAGAACACGGTCAACAAGACAAAATGGCAGCCTACAAAATGGGAAAAGACCTTCACTAACCCCACATCAGACAGAGGTCTGGTCTCCAAAATATAAAAGAAACAAAGAAATTGGTCATCAAAAAAACAAGTAATCCTATTTAAAAAATAGAGTACAGACCTAAACAGAGAACTCTCAACAGAGGAATCTAAAATGGCGAAAGACACTTAAGGAAATGTTCAACATCCTTAGTCATCAGAGAAATGCAAATCAAAACACCTGTAAGAATGGCTAAGATCAGAAACACTGATGACAACTTATGCTGGAGAGGTTGTGGGGTAAAGGGAACACTTCTGCATTGTTGGTGGGAATGCAAGCTGGTACGGCCCCTTTGAATATCAATATGGTGATTCTCAGAAAATTAGGAAAAACCTTCAAGACCCAGCAGTATCATTTTGGGGTTTATACCCAAAGGATGCTCATCTTCTACCACAGTGTAACCATGTCTCCAGCACTGATGCCAAAGAAAGTTCAGTCCATCTTCTCAGGTACTCAAGGGTAAATAAAACCGGAAGAAGATAAGTTTACTTAGTTCCCAGTTTTAGGTCACGTTGCCAATATCTGGTTTTGCTGAGGGTCCCTTGGCTGCATGACAGTCAGGTAGGAAAGCGTCATGGCAGAAGTTCATGTAACAGAGAGACATATGTGGATGAGAACCAAACGAGCAGGAATAGATCAGGTTTGCTCTTTGTTAACAACTTTACCCCCGAAGAACATCTTGGTCCCAGGAGAACAACAGTAATTCCTTCCAAAGTAACACTCCCGGTACCTAATGATGTCCCACTGGATCCAAAACCTTAAAGGTCCTAAGACATTATTAATATCCCCACCCTGGGGACCAATCTTCCATCTTCCAGCCCGTGAACCCTTTGTAAGGGGGCTCCTTGGAGTCAGTATAGAGCACATCCAGACAGCATGTTCTCAGCACAAGGAGATTTGTTACCCTGAGGGACAAGTGCAGGGCTGTGGAGGTGGAGGCTGGGGCGCGAGGGTGTTGGCCAATGGCACATAGCAGGTGTTTCTGCTGGAGTGGCTTTTTAAGGAGAATAAAAAGGGGAAGACTATGTTAGGATGAGTTGATGAGTCCTGATTGGACAGCCTAACCAATGTAGCCAAATAATGAATTTTGATTCCTGGACCTTGATGTTTTGATAGCTGGGCCTTGGTGATCAGTCTGAAAAATGAATCAGTAGCCAGATAAGGGAATGGACTCTGGGGGCTTAGCTGCAGGAATGTAATCTAACAGTTAAGGAAGAGAGAGGGAAGGCAAAAGGGCAAACTGGCTGGTGCCATGTCTGTTCTGCTTAGACCTGTTAGAGCCCTTCACTCTCTATCAAAGCAATATCAGAAGTACCGAATAGGTTACTGTAGAAAAATTGGCAGAATAGTGACAGGGTATGTTTCTTTGAATATGTCTATATGTAAGAAAGATTTTAAGCAACCAGAAATCAATGTATTTCAGTCTGGTGCCATTTTCTTTGAACAAACCCCCACCACTAACAATAACAACAAAGTATCAGGAGCTTGGGGCTCCAAGGTTAGGTGGTCAAGGACACGTGCAACTCTTAGCAAGGTCCCAGGTTCAATACTCGGCACCCACAGGATGGCGTCCCTCAGTCGGTAACTCCATTTCCAGAGAATCTGAAATCTTTCGGTCTCTCTGGGCATCAGGTATGAACATGGTATGCATACATGCATGCAGGCAGAGAACACACATACATTGAAAAGAAACATGAAGAAAATTTCAGAAGCTTTTTGCTTTGGCTGCAGTTTCCAGACCCTGGTGAATCTGCTGACGCAAGGAGCTCCAGCTGACGGCGAATACTCAAGGAACATGAAGTGCTAAGAAGCTCGGAGAATTTGATTCTTTTCAGTCCAGTGACCAGAAGCTCTTGATCTTTTATTACTGAATATGGTTGCTGTAAAAAGAAGAGAAACGTTCTAAGTATTCAGGGTTGAACGGCCGCCAGCACTTTCTATTTTCCCTGTTCAGACAGCCTTAACTTTATGTTGTGTATCATAATATCTTAGCACATTCAGGCCTTGTAAAGAAAACGCGTGGTCCCCCCCCTCCATTGTGTGGAAATGGTCCCTTTCAAGTGCATATTTCAACAGAATGAACTTCTCTTCACAACATAGCTCTTATTATTTTTTTTTTTTATTAACAATCCTTTTTCCGGATTGGTCTTCTGTTTTTGCCTAGGTAAAACAAGTCAAGCGAGAATAGCAAAGAGGGACGTTTCTTACTTGCAAGGACAGAAAATGTGGTTTTCTTCCAAACTCTGCTTCCCATTGACAACCAAATACTGAAACCAAATACTGCGGGCTCCCAGAGCACCCTGGGGATCAGCGCTTAGCCATGCCCTGGAAATGGTCCCACTGGGCTACAACAGCAGCTCCATAATTCATCATGGTGAGCCTACCCCCTCCTGATTAGCATAGTCTGGAGGCTAAACAGGGCTGTCTCCTCCTACTTCCCTTTATCCAATTGCTTTGGGATGTTTCCTTAGCCTATCACAGAACCAAGGGCACTGAGTTATAGCAACAAAACTTCCTCAGAAGTAAGACTTCTTCAGAAAGAAGGTTCCAGAAGGAAAACTGTCCATGTCAGGACACCATTGCTTTAGGCTCAAGAAAAATTAGCTCCGGTTTAATTTTCTAATATCTTGGAATCTATTCACTTGAGAAAAAAAGTTGGTTTATAAAGCATAAACTAATGCTTTGAAAAATATTTCCATTTGCCATATCATGGCTAACTACTAGGAGAAAGTGTCTAGTTACCAGTGAGGCCCAGGAGAACGTGTATCTTCTATCTCTGGGCTAGAAAGAGAAAGAGAAAAACAGGTATGTCTGGTGCTGTACTAAATAAGACTGAATTGGTCATGAAGTTCATAGCAGGAAACACCATATCTTTAATATTTTTTTTAACATTTTAATCGAAGTGACTCAGGAGAGAAGGAGGAGAGAAGTCATTGGATAAATTTAGAGCAGAGACTGCTTTTCATCTTCGGTCCTCGAGAATTGGATCCCAGCACGGCTGATCTTTCCCCAGGAAAGTGTTCCTGAGTAAGCAACTTGGCAACACTTTTATATGTCTTAACTACCAACATGTTCATATGTCTTAACTACCAACACGTTCATATATCTTAACTACCAACATGTTTATATGTCTAAATTACCAACACGTTCATATGTCTTAACTACCAACACGTTCATATGTCTTAACTACCAACATGTTTATATGTCTTAACTAAGCTACCAACACATTTATATGTCTTAAACTACTAATATGTTTATGTGCCTTAACTACCAACACAGTTAGTTATATGTCTTAACTACCAACAGGTTTATGTGTCTTAAGTACCAGCATAGATCCAGCAGACCTACTTACACGATAAACTTGGGACCTGGAAACCATTTAGCCTGGGTGGAGATCTGCCCGCAAGTCTTTGGTATAGACCAGCTTTTCCCTGCATCTCAGACTTTATTACCCTGGACAGTGTTTAGGGAAAGGAAAGTGAGAGCCAATGCCCTAGTCCAGTATACTTGAGAGGGAGACAGAATGCTATGCTTAATAGTGTCAGAAGCAATATGACAAGCCTGGATTTGTAGAAAATTGTGTTTGAAAAGCTTGTAGCTATGAGGTCATTTATCTAGTCTGGGAAGGAAATGGATGGCTTACTTTACATGATCTTTTCAAAATCTCTCCCCAGCACCAGATCAAGATTGATCCCAGAGACTCTGACATGCTTGGTAAGTGTTCCCCAACTGCGATATGTTTCCAGCCTCTTAAGAAGAACCTGAAGTCCTGGTTATAATGCAACACAATCATCATCCTCAAATGGGAGTGGAGGGGAAACCTCTAGGGACAAGATTCTTTCCTTCCACCCTTCTGGAGCTGTCCTTGTCACTGTACTGTCGTGGTGATGAAACATCACAACTGAGGCAGCTTACAAAAGTAAACATTCAGTTGGAGTATACTTACAGTCTCAGAAAGTTAGTTCATGATCATCATGGCAGGAAGCATGGCAGCAGGCATGGTGGTGGAGTAGTAACTAGGAGCTAACATCCCAAGCTGTAGGCAGGAGGCAGAAAGAAAGCAAGACAAGGCCTAGCCTGGGCTTTTGATACCTCAAAGCTCAATCCCAATGACACACCCCCTCCAATAAGGACACAACTCTCAGGGCTTCCCAAACAGTCCACCAATTGGGAACCAAACATTTAACTCCATGAGCCCATGGGGTTCATTCTCATCTGAACCACCACACTAACAGTACAGACAGAGAGATGGAGAGACACACACGGGAATGCATGCATATACATATATGCATATAAAGGCTGAACTACTGAAGGAGTTGAAGTTGTCAAACTGAATCACAATGATAGCTCATAGAAGAGAAGATGTGGGCTAATTGTACATAAAGACACTCCTTTTTTTTTTAGGACTCTTCAATTGTTTACAGTATTATAAACACTTAAATTTATTTTAATTTTTTTTCTGTCATCAGATCCTTGATTTTTATTACCCTCCAACTACCCATTTTCTCCAGTGATGAATACTAAGACAGTTTGAAATCTGTAAGTATCAGAGTCAATCCCTGGGTTTGGGCAAGGAATCATCTCCTTACTTTGCATTTCAAGTCAACCGAGCTCAGCTCTGGCTCCTTTGGAAGTGTCTTGGGAGTTTCACCAATGTATGCAAGGCATCTCTGGTTCCTCTTTGGCATCCCTGCCCTCTATTTAGATGTTGCACACAAACAGGGTCTGTCTCGTCGCTTGCAGCCGTCCCACGGCCCTAGGAATGTGCTCCAGCGCTCGGGTTTAACATGCAGGCTTCGGGGAAGTACCGATATGATGCAGTTCGGCTTTCATAACCTCCAGTTTCCAGTTGAACATCGCCTTTTTAGGACCGACAAGGAAATCCGATTGGACGACCTTGGCCGTATAGCTTCACGCTGTGTGTAATCCTGGCTTTGCAACTGACGAAAATCAATGAGGGGAACATTGATCTCCTTGCAAACGCAGTTAGCTCAGCCACCCTCTGCCAGGGATCTGGGTATTCAAGTCACTCGCTGGCTGGCACAATGTGTTTTCAAACCTGGCTCTTCTGGGGCAGTGGCTCTCCGGCTTCACATTCGCTCTGCTTACAAATGCATACAAATCGCATCATCTAGATGGAAAAAGTGTTCTGCAGGTCCACAGCGCAGCCTCTATGTTTGTTTAAGGTTAAGCAAAATAGCCTGCATGTCAACGACATTGCAGGGTGTCACCCGGTGAAGAAAATCCTCCGCAGAAGAGTATGAGTCGCTCTAGGGAAATATTGCCCTCAGCTAGATGGATTTGAAGCTCATCTGAGCTATTTGGGGGCAATTTGCCCTTGATTTTATTCTTTAATCAAGGGAGCAAATGTGATCAAGAAATTACCTGAAAACCCCACAATAAATAAACACTTTAGCGCAGATGCACACAAAAATGAAAAATATTACACAGCCAAATATAGTATGTATAAAAATGTGTATTGCAATATTTCATGCTTGTTAGTGGAAATATTTTTACAACATGTCTCCCAAGTGCAGAAAATAAATCAAGCCTTTAAAAAGCGACTGCGGATGATTCATTTAGTGCTGTCATAATATGGTGTTTTCTTTAATGAAAATTTATATCATTTTTCCTGGACTCAGTGGAATAAATTTATACTGAAAGGTGGAAGAGAGTGATAAGTTCAGAATGAAACACAACCAACACTTGACAATAAACGGGAACAAGTGAGGAATGATCTTGACGCCCTTTTTTTTTTTTCTAGGAGATTTCATATTCAAGCCATTGGTAGTGAAGGAGAAATAGAAATGGCAGCATTTGGCAGAGATACAGCACTTTCAGATGAACCGCACAGATACCACACCCACACCAAGTCACACCCAATAAGCTCAACCATTACCATCTTCCGGAGGAGGAAACCAGAGTTAACAGCGCTAGCCTGTCTGTCTGTCTGTCTGTCTATCCATCCATCCATCCATCTATCTTTTTATTTATTTATTTATGGTTTATTTGAGACAAGGTTTCTCTGTTTAACCCTGACTGTCCTGAAAATTACTCCGTAGACCATGTTGGCCTCGAACTTGCAGAAATCTACCTGCCACTGTTTCCGGAGTCCTGGCATAAAAGGCATTCGCCTTCATGCCCAGCACATTAATGTTTTAAATGCAGAGGGGTTGGGGGACAAGGCTAAGAGTACACTGCCTGGTCCTCAAGCATGAGGGTGTGAGGAAGGATCCCCAGAACCCATGGAAAAAGCCAAGGGTGGTAGCAGGCTCCTGTGGCCCCGGCAGTAGTGGTGGTGGTGATGGTGATGTGTAAGACTACATTGGTTCCCTTCCGTGCTCTACTCGCTATGCACTATGGGAGTTAGACTGGAAATCTTAAAACCTACACAGACAGACAGAGCCAAGAGTGCCCACTTTGTTGTGCTCCGGAGCAGCTTATATAGGGCTCTGGGATCTTTCAGTTTCAGGCCCACCAGCCTGCCATCAGGGTCCCATGCTCAAAGCGGCTGCAGGCTGCTCAGAGCAGAGGAAAACAGGTTGTTTACAGGAAATTCAGGGTCTGGTGGTCTTCAGTCCCCAACAGTGGTAGGCCTGAGAAAGTAGGGAGATCCCTCAAGTTCTTTGACCAGTCAGGCTTGTGGGGTCTATGAGTTTCTAGATTACTGAGAGACCTAGTCCCATATAATTAAGTCAGAGGGATAGAGAGAGGCCCAGCAGTTAAGAGCATGTATTGCTCTTCCGGAGGACCTGGGTTGAATTCCTAGCACCCACATCAGACAACTTACAACCACCTGTAACTCTGACTCCAGGCAAATCTGAAACTTCTCTCTTTTGCAGGCAGTAACATGCATATGTGCTTGAAAACACACATGTAGTATGAGGAGTGGGCTGCGTCCCGCCGCCTGGCTAGTTTAACCCCCAAAATAACCACACAGAAATTGTATTAATTAAATTATTGCCTGGCCCATTATCTCTAGCCTCTTATTGGCTAACTCTCAAATATTAGTTTAACCCATCTCCATTAACGTGTATCGCCACTTGACTGTGGCTTACCAGCATGAGTCTAACCAGCGTCTGTCTCGGGCAGGAGATTCATGGCATCTGCCTGTCTCTACTTTCTTCCTCCCAGGATTCTGTTCTGTCTTCCCCGCCTACCTGAGTTCCGCCTATCAACTAGGCCAAGGCAGTTTCTTTAATAACCAGTGAAAGCAACACAAATACAGAAGGACCTTCTACACCACACACACACACACACACACACTCACACTTAAGAATAATAAAAATAAAATTTAGAAAAGGTGGGAAGCTGTTAAGGAAAGATATAAATATAAGACAACAACTTTGGTCTCCATACAAATCTGCATGCATATATACATGACACACAGACACACACATATACACCATACACACAGACATAAACATATAACACACACAAACACACACCACACACATAGATACACACATACATGTCATACACACAAACATACACCACCCACACCGACACACGCATATAACGCACAAGCAAACATACCACACACACTGACACACACATATCACACACACAGACAAACACACATCACACACACAGACATACACATATCCCAAATACCATGGATGGACACACACACACACCATGTGTGTAGATAAACACACAGACTCAGACACACAGACACACACATGTGCACAAAAGAAAAAAATGCATGCATCTATAAGAAACATTACCAAAGAAGAATGACAAGAATAACGTAATTGAGAAAAGAGATCAAAGGGAAGACTCATATATACCTACCCACACAATAAACGCACAGCTATGCATATGTGCATGTAGTGTTCGTGTTACTTACAGTCCTAGAATATGAAGCAATAGCCCATGATGGGAACACTAGTTAGGACTGAAGAGAAGCTGAACCTGGAGTCACAAGCCTAAAACTCGGGAGACTGGGGCAGGAGAAGCACAAGTTCAAAGCCTGCCTGGACTACAGAGTGAACTCAGTGCCAGCCAGGATGCCTTAAGGAAAGCCTGTCTCAAAATAAAAAGCAAAAATAGGGCTGACATACTAGCTCAGTATTTGAGTGCTTCTCTAGTATCCTAAAGGCCCGGGGCTCAAATCCCAGCATCATAGGAGTGACAGGTGAGTAAACAGATATACTGGAAAGTTCTTTCTGGCTAAGTCAAGCTAATATAACCATGAATATAGTTTCGGAGACAAACTTTTAAATGAGCCAGGCGGTGATGCACATGCCTTTAAACTCAGCACTCAGGAGGCAGAGGCAGGTGGATCTCTGTGAATTTGAGGTCAACCTGCTTTACAGAGTGAGTTCCAGGACAGCCAGCATTGCAAACAGAGAAACCCTGTCTTGTGAAGCAACAACAAAAGACCAAATGGTTCATGAACAGGAAAAATTCCAGTGTGAGGTGAGGAGGCTGGTGTACATGAAGCTATGAAGGTATGCTGGTACAGAACCCGAGTCTCAACTCGGTGTCTGAGGGCCATTAACACCGTGATTTACATCATAGACTGCTCTACAGAGTGTAGAAGTCATGGCTGACTGACAAGGTTCTCAGTAGATAAAGGTGATTGTTGTCAACCCTGATGACTTGAGTTTGATTCCTGGGAGGACCCACATGGTGGGAGGAGAGAACTAACTCCTGTAAACAGGCCTGTAACTGTGACCTGCTAACTGTGGTTCATAAAGAGAGAGAGAGAGAAAGAGAGAGAGAGAGAGAGAAAGAGAATAAAGAATAGACATTAAAAGAAAACAAGGCAGTTGAAGAACTGATGGTCCCATGTTCCCACCCCTTATAATTAACAAGTATGGGGAGAGGGCAGCTTTTGAATGGGTTTGAAGTGAAAAATGATGTCACAATATGAGGTTTGACTTTACAGAAATCTAACTGGGAACATCAAACAAAATTTTAATTTATTCAATACTGTATCAGCCGGGGTAAAATTGGTAGAAAAGAGGTACAGTGATTCAAACCTGGAATATTTACTATAAATAATCATTAATTGCAGAAGGAGCAGAACTTACAAGGCATGGAAAACTGGGGCAGAAGGCTCATGGGCTTAGGGTCAATCTTGGCTATATTATGAGACCCTGTTTTTTAAAACAAAACAAAACAAAGCACACACACACACAAACTCTTTAAGAAGTAGTCTTGGTATCTGGCTTGCTAGTGAAGCCCTTGCCTACATTGCACTTAGCCCTTAGTTTGCTCCTATATTAAAAAAAAAGTAATAGAAGATGTTATGTTTGCTACACACTACTGCTAAGATCAGTTGAGAAACCAAGATTGCGAAACAAGTCAAAAGCTCTTAAACGACAGAAAAGTTGCTGGTGGAACTTCCTGGGAAACCAAGACTCCTGGCAAAAGCACCTCACTGGGGATATTTGCATACAAAATCTCCAGAAATGAGCTCTGCACACCGGCAGGAGCCTTGCCCTGGAGAACCTGTCATTACAGGGGCTGGAGAAGAAGCTCCTGCTGTAGCTGATAGACTGGAGAAAACAGCGCACTCAGAAGCAGCAAGGACTCCTGAGCTGGGACCCCGGGACCCTCCTTCCCCTGCTGTGTACCCTGTGCCTTCTCCTGTCGAAGTTTTTCACCAAGCTTGTTGGCAGAGGGACAATATTTAAAGGGCGCAGATCCATCTCAATGAGCAGGCCAAAAAGCTGAATTTGGAGTTGAAAGGCCAGTTTGTTATAGTTCTCGAATTCAGCTTTGTGTTCATACACATGGGTACCCTTTTGAGTTTGTGCATGTATGAGTGTGTGTTGGAGTACAGTTTAATTTCTGGGAGATCTTCATGAGAAACTACTTAGAAAAATGTAAACAGCCCTTGTGTGAGAAGCACACAAGTGATTTCAAAACATTCAAGATGGTAGTAAACACCTGTAAACCTTTGGGGAGGTTGAGGCAAGATACAGTCAAGGGCAGCCTGGTTACACTGTGAGTTCCTGTCTTAAATCAGAACCAAAACCAATGACCATAAAACTTATCCCAGAATACATAGTTGTATTCTGGGAATGCAGAGAGGGAAGATATTTGGGGGTGTAGCATTATCATTGGCTGCCAGAATGGCTAGGTTTAAATTCCTGACCTGCCAGCCACATCCTTGGGCTGTGAAATCCTCTGCAATTCAGCTCCCATCTTGAACTTTACTTTTCTCATCCGCTTCATGCGACCATTGTGCACATTAAATCGTCTAACATGCTAGAACATTTAGAATAGTTTTGTGGAATGTGCTAAGAGCAGGAGATGTTAGCTGTTAATAATGATCTTACAATGGCTGTTTGTTCACCTTATTATAAACATGTAATTACCACTTCTCAAGTGACGCGGTATCTTTTGGTGTAAGGGAACCCCCAAGGCTTACAAAGAGACAATTACCAAATAAAACTAGGGTGTTTGCTCAAAACCTTTACTTGTGTTGTTTTACGGCTCCTTGAGGGCTGCATCACTGACTTCTGGAATCCTTTGCCCACACGGTACCCTCTCAAAGGCCTCCGTGGGCCCTTCAGTGTAAAGTTAATGCTAATTTTTGTTGGCAAT